GTCACCTGCACAACCAGGCCAGGCAGGGATGGGGCGCAGACGGCAAGCAGCCAGCATGCCTCTTTGTCCCTCCAGGCCCCTGGGATCCCAGCCCCTATGGAAGAAGGTGCTCACCTCCACAGCCGTGGGGCTGCCGCTGCTCCTGGGCGTCCGCTACCTCACCGCAGAGCCGCAGGAGAGGAGGAAGATGCGGCTCATGGTGGACGGTGTCACGCGCTTTGGCAGGTAGGGCTGGTGGCGTGGCCCTTCCTTCTCCCTGCACAGCCCCGCCCTCATGGGCCTAGTGCGGGTGAGTGGTCACACTGGACACGCCTCCACAGACCCTCCAGATCAGCCCCGACTGGTGGGAGGCAGGGAGGGGCCTGGTGCCTTCCACCCTCCTCCTCACCTGTCTTCTCGCCCCAACTTCCCCGCCAGAGTTGGCACCCAGAGGTCTCACCCCAGCCCAGGGCACTGGCGTGGACATGGTGCTGTCTGCTCCTCAGGCTCTGACACTCGGGGGCAGGGCTGACCTCCCGGAGGAGCCCCTCGGTCAGCACTCCTGCTCTTGGTCCGATCCAGGAATTCCTCAGCCTCAAAGGCCTAAGAACCAGCTCTTGGCACCGAGTAAAACTGTCGTTTACCCAAACGCACTGTGTACAGGCCTCCCTGTGGAAAGGGCTCACGTGAGACCCTAGTTAAGGGTGCTGCTGGGGCAGGTGTCCGATCTGCTAGTTGTGAACACCTGCTGCCTCTTGGGCCTGGGCCGAAGCCCCTGGACGGCTGAGGCCACAGCGGCCTTCAGGCAGCTCGCCAGAGGCTTCGTTGAGATTTACACGAGGCTGGAGATGCCAGGTGGCTGACCGCCTGCTCACTCCGCCTCCAGGCTGAAGCCAGCCCGTTACTCCTCCCTGGTGGGCAGCTGACAGGTTTGCCTGGAACTCCCAGTTGCCCTCCTGGGCTGGTTCCTGGCGGGGGCCTCTGTCGTGCCAGCCTCGAGGTTGATGGCCGAGCCTGGAGTTGGATCCGCCTTTTCTTCTGTCCCTGTGCAGCTTGGTGCTGAAAAGCCCCCTTGGCTGGCCGGGGCTGGTCTTGCCTGCCCCGTGTGGCTGCTCTGCGTGCGTGTCGGACACCCCAGCAGCAGGCTCGCGTGCCTGCCTCTCTGCTGTGCTCCCGGGAGCACATCCCATCGCCTCCTGTCAGAGGCTGAGCTGGGATTGGAGGGAGGGAGCCAGACGAGTATCCCCGTCGGCGCCAAGCCTTACAGGTGCCAGGACAGGCAGGCCTGATGGGGCGTCGTGGCGGGTGCTGGGTGACCACGGGGCCTCTGGAGATGGAGGACACACAGCAGGGCCTGGGTAATGGGCAGCATGGGTGCAAGAGCCCAGGGAAGGACAGAGGTCGCGGGGAGGGGCTGAGTCTGACCATGACTCACCGATGCTTGTTCTGTGGCCAGAGGCCGAGGTCAGAGTGTGTCACAGGTGCCCCGTGCACAGACTGGGGTGGGTGGGAGGTTTGCTTTAGGACCTTTTACAGCCACCCCCCCCCCCCGCCCCGACACACACACACACCTTTTATGTCAAAATTTCAAATGTCCAGAAAAGTTGCAAGAATAATACAGCTTTTTGCTGGAAACTTTGCAAGCAAGTTGTCATCATGCCCGATCATCCCTGAAAGCTTGAGTGTTTCCTAAACTAGGACTTTCTCCTTCATAAGCACCACCAGGAAGCTGCTACCTCATGACCTTTGACCTTCCCTGTCACCACACGCCCCAGGAGCAGCCCTTTCAGCACCAGGGTCCGTCTAGAGTCCGTGTCTTGGGTCTAGAGTCGGGGCCGCAGCCAGACCTCTTCAGTAGTCAGTTCTTCAGAAACAGGGCAGGCCCTGGACAGATCTGGAGGCACCAGAAGGGGCCTGGGCCTGGGTTGCGCTGGGCTGTCACCTTGGCAGGAGAGCAGTGGGGATCCCCATCTGGGAATCGACTCCCTGGGGCTCCTGTCCACCGGCCCTGCCTGGGAGAGAGTGGAGGCAGGGCCAGGAGTGTGCGGGCCTGGGGCAAGGGTGTGTTCACATGGGAGCTGGCCAGCTGGCCAGCGCAAGTGTGCTCAGTCCTGGGTGGGTTTTCCTTTTGGACGAGTGTCCTCTAAAAGACTACAGAAACACACCCCGGCGCGTGCCCACTTGTGCTGTTTTTTTTCTCAGGGGCCTTGGGGCCCTGGACCCCAGGCAGCACTGCTCAGGGGCTGAAGGGTGGAGTGGGTGCAGGTGGCCTATTCTGCAGACCAGGAGCTGATGGACACAGAGCACAGAGGCTGGGACGAGCCTCCTCTGGCCCTGGGCCCCGAGGGGCGGGCGGAGGGGGGCCCCGAGACTGCGTCTGCTGGGGCTGAGGGAGCCTGTGCTGGCAGGTCCTTGAGGGTCGGCCTGCAGATCTCCGCAGACTACTGGTGGTGCACGAACGTCGTCCTGCGACGGGTGGAAGAGGTCTGTCCGTGCGTCCTCGGTGACAGCTGGGCCTGTCTGTGCTGTGGGGTGGGATTCTGGAGGAGCTGGGTGTTGGGTGGACTGAGGAGGTGCCTGCCTGCCCCCATCCCCCCTCCATGCCTGTGGTCAGAACAGCCCGGAGTACTTGGAGGTGATGTCTGCGTGTCATCAGCGGGCGGCTGACGCCCTGGTGTCCGGGGCCATCTACAATGGGGGCCTCTACGTGAAGCTGGGCCAAGGGCTATGCTCCTTCAACCACCTGCTGCCCCCCGAGTACATCCAGACGCTGCGTGTGCTGGAGGACAGGGCCCTCACGCGCGGCTTCCGGGAGGTGAGCCCCACCCTGGAGCAGAGGCTGGGCGGGGCTCGGCCTGGCCTCCACGCTGCCCTAAGAACCCTCTCCACCAGGTGGACGAGCTGTTCCTTGAAGACTTCCACGCCCTACCCCACAAGCTCTTCCAGGAGTTTGACTACCAGCCCATTGCCGCCGCCAGCCTGGCCCAGGTCCACCGTGCCCGGCTGCACGATGGCACCGTGGTGGCTGTGAAGGTACTGGGTCCCCCTGCTGGTGGTGGCGGGGAGGCGGCAGGCTTGGGTGGCAGCAGTGCAGTGCCTTGCCCGTGCAGGTGCAGTACATTGACCTGCGGGACCGCTTCGACGGGGACATCCACACCCTGGAGCTCCTGCTCAGGTTGGTGGAGTTCATGCACCCCAGCTTCGGCTTCAGCTGGGTCCTCCAGGTAACATCCATGGGCAGGAGCGGCACCCTCTGCTGGGCTGGGCTGTGCCTGGCCCTGACCTGCCCGCCCATGTGGCCCCCAGGACCTGAAGGGGATCCTGGCCCAGGAGCTGGACTTTGAGAACGAGGCCCGGAACGCTGAGCGCTGTGCACAGGACCTGAAGCACTTCCACTACGTCGTGGTCCCCCGTGTGTTCTGGGACGTGTCCAGCAAGGTGGGCTGGGTGCCCTCCGGGTGGGGGCCGGGACGCACACCTGCTGAGCTCAGCCTCTCGCTCTCTCCCAGCGCGTGCTGACAGCCGAGTTCTGTGAGGGCTGCAAGGTCAACGATGTGGAGGCCATCAAGTCCATGGGGCTGGCCGTGCAGGATGTGAGTGCGTGTGCCCGGGGGTGGAGTCGGGGCGGGTGTGCCTGTCGTGTGCATAGTGGGGACACAGGTGTGCCGTGTGCGCAGGGAGTCGCATGAGGGAGGGGGTGCCTCATGTGCCCTGTGACAGTGGCGTGGCCCTGTCCCTGCCCCAGATAGCAGAGAAGCTCATCAAGGCTTTTGCTGAGCAGATCTTCTACACGGGCTTCATCCACTCCGACCCCCACCCTGGCAACGGTAGGCAGCGCCGCAGTGGGCAGGGCTGGGGCTGGGGCTGGAGCGGGAGCGGGAGCGGGCCAGCATGAGCCGTGTGCCCTGTCCTTAGTGCTGGTGCGGAAAGGCCCGGACGGGAAGGCAGAGCTGGTGCTGCTGGACCACGGCCTCTACCAGTTCCTGGATGAGAAGTAAGTGGTGGGGGTGCAGGGCTGAGCCTGTCTTGCCTGTCCTGCTGAGCTGGACTCACTCTGGGCCCCACAGGGACCGGTCAGCCCTGTGCCAGCTGTGGCGGGCTATCATCCTGAGAGACGACAGCTCAATGAAGAAGCACGCGGCGGCACTTGGGGTGCAAGGTGAGGCAGGGTGTGTGTGTGTGTGTGTGCATGCCCGTGCAAGGGCACACGGGCACGCAGCTTGACTCAGCCCGCCCCCAGACTACTTCCTGTTCGCGGAGGTGCTCATGCAGAGGCCTGTGCGCCTGGGGCAGCTGTGGCGCTCCCACCTGCTGAGCCGAGAGGAGGCGGCCTACATGCAGGCCATGGCGCGGGAGCACTTCGAGGGCATCATGGCCGTGCTCAAGGCCCTGCCGCGGCCCATGCTGCTCGTGCTGCGGAACATCAATACCGTCCGCGCCATCAACACTTCCCTTGGCGCCCCCGTTGATCGCTACTTCCTCATGGCCAAGAGGTGGGTGTTGGCAGGGAGCCCGTGGGGTTGGGGTTGGGGAGAGCTGGGTTGGACTGACCATGTCTCTGGCAGTGCCGTCAAGGGCTGGAGCCGCCTGGCAGGCTCAGCGCACACGAGTGTCTATGGCACCAGCCTCCTGCGCCACATCAGGGTCATCTGGGAGATGTTCAAGTTTGAAGTGGCCCTGAGGTGAGTGGACAATTGGGGCCCAGCGGGCACATGGGGGGCCAGGGCCTGCTCCCCACTGATTTGCTACCCCTCCTTTCCCCCCCGCCCAGGCTGGAGACCCTGTCCATGAGGTTCACAGTCCTCATGATTCGAGTGCTGATGCACCTGGACCTCATGCCCAGGGACGAGGGGCTGTATGAGTACCTTGCAACCTAGGGCCCTAGAGCAGGAGGCCCGGACTGGAGATGTGGACGCCCCCCAACCCGGGACACTGGAGCAGCTGTCAGCTTGAGTGGGGGGGACCCCGGGGGCTCTGACCACTGGTAGGGCCAGGAGCCCTGCAATGACCACACGTACTTCTCAAACCAAACAAATCTTTCTCCTGTGTTTTGTACAAAAAGGGGTGGTGGCAGTGGCTGTATCCAGGGGTCTAGAAGTGGGCAGTGACCCGGTCCGTCTCTAACAGGTCATCCAGGATCTGTGGGGAGAGGGCAGGTAAGGGGCAGAGCAGGGCGAAGTGGGGTGGGACGGGGAGGTAGGTGGCTTGCTCACAATGTCAGGTGTGGTGCCGATCTTCTTGGCCAGCTCGCTGCGCTCCATGGTGCTCAAGTACAGGTAGCGGTTGAGCAGCTCTCCGTCCAGGATGTTCCGCACGGCATTCTGCAGGGTGCGCCGGTCCACGTGCAGCATCCTGGGGAGGTGTTAGGCATGGGGAGCTGGGCAGACCTGGGGGAGGTGTGTGTGTGTGGGGGGGGGAGGTGTTGGGGTGGGAAGCAGAGGCATGCTCACCGAAAGGCGCGGGGGTTGAGGCCAGCGTGGTGGGGCAGCATGGTGGTCAGCGCATTCTGCAGCATCAGTAGCCGCCGGTAGGTCTTCTCCTGCATGGGCAGCAGGAGCCCGATGCCGCCGTCGAGAGTGGCTGCAGGGGACAGTGTGAGCCCAGTGATCCCAGCACCACCTGCCCACCCGTGCCACTGCCCCTTGTCCCCGCCCACAAGGCCTCACCGAACCACGTTATGTGCTTGTTCTCCCACATGACCGACTTCTTGCTGGGCCCCTCAGCAGCACCTCGGCACGGGGTCCTCCAGAAGGTGTTCACGTGGGCACCCACGTGGAAGTCTGCCCGACGCAGCAGGCGCATGCCACCAAAGCTCTCCTTGGCTGGACCAGAGAGACCTCAGGTCATAGCCCGCCCAGCCTCCGCCCAGCCCCTGCCCGGGGTCAGGGAGTACTCACCCTCCGGCAGGTACATGTACACCATGAGGTTGCGGTCACGGTCAGACACTGGAAACAGAGCCCCAAGTCAGCCTGGTCACCACAGTCTCAGACAGCCCCGGACCCCAGTCCTGCACTCACCCAGGAAGCCCAGTTGGGTGCTGTCCACCATGAAGTCCACGCTGTACACTTCCAGGGGCTTGGCGTCCTGGGGACCGAGGGGTGGGTGTCACATCAGGTTCCCCTGGGGACAGGGACCACCTGGCACAGGGCCGTCCCCACCACCCAGGGTACCCGGGAGACGAGGCTGAGCGTCTTGCTGTCCTCCTGGTAGCGCAGCAGCGAGATGCTCTTCATGACGTCAGCGGCCAAGATGAAGTTCTTGATGCTGATCATCTGGTGGATGTACAGCTGGGTGTCGATGAAGGCCATGCCCGTCAGCTCGCTGGCACGCAGGCTCCACAGGAAGATCTGTGGTGGGAGAGGTGGCAGCCAGTGGCTCGCAGGCAGGCGGGGCCGTGGGTCGGCACAGGCTGCAGGGGCAGGGACCCACCTTCTGGCCAATGGCCGACACCAGGTGGCCGTTGCAGTGGCAAAGGGCGGTCACGGGCCCCTTCTGCTCCTTTTCGTACAGGACCTTGAACTTGTTCTTGGTCAGGGGCTGGCCAGGCTCGGGCACCACCTCGATCACGTCCATGATCAGGATCCGCCCGCGGCAGGTGACCTCCTCCCCCTGCATGAGGCAGGTCCCCGCGGCCACATAGCCTTTGAGGCCGGACACGGTCTCCTCGCTGCGCAGCGACACCGTCTTCATGCAGGTCACGTGCTCCCACTCCTCCAGCTCGATCCTGCAGGAGGCAGGGTCAGGAGGCAGCCCTGCTACCTGCCTCCCTGCCGCCCCACCTGACCCAGCCTCACCTGGCATTGGGGATGGCCTCCCAGCTGACGGGGGAGATGAGCTGGATGGAGAAGGCCTCCTGCTGGGGGTGGATGTAGCGGTCATCTGCAGAGACAGGGCTCGGTCAGGGAGAGACGGCCCCAAGAGCAGGCCCAGCCTGAACGTCCCCTACCTCTCTCGATGGTCTCAAACTCCTTCTCCTCGCCCGTCATGCGTGGAATCCGGGTGCACGCAGTGTTGGTGCTGGTGGCCACAGCGTATACCTGGGGGAGTGGAGGTGTCACAGACCAGAGACCAGGCCCAGAAGGTCCCTGGCCTTCAGGGGGACTCAGACCTTGGACTCCACGTGGTAGGCCACATAGTGGGCTGTGCAGCGCAGCGGGATCTTCCTGACGGGCCACGGGGCATCGTAAGACAAGTAGGCCGGCAGGACGCTGATCCTCAGCTCGCCCTGGGGGTTGAGGGGGTCAGTGAGGCCAGGCACCCACTGAAAGCAACACAGGTGACCCCAGGCCCACAGGGTTCCCTGGGATCAGACCCCGCTCTGTGCAGCACGGTGAGCAGGCAGTTGGGGTCAGCCAGGACCCGACAGCACTGGAGGCAAAGGGTGGCCCGCCCTGGCCATGCCAGGGCTGCAGATAGGCGAGGGACCCCTGCCAGGCCCAGCCCGCCTCACCCAGTCCCGGGTGCATCAGCACCATCATCCCTGGAGTTCTCGGGTGACAGAGGAGGAAAGTGAGGCTCAGAGGTGAGCGCCTCAGCCAGCCACAGCGCCGACGGGGCAGAGCTGGGGTCTCAGCTGCCAGAGCAGTGACAGTGCCTGAACTCGGTCGCCCAGGCAGGTGCCCTCAACCTTCCCAGCAGTAAGCCCAGGTCTCGCCTCCTTAGCCCCCCCTCCCCCGCAGCTCCATCTTGTCACCAGCGCCTTGTCTCCAGCCCAGCACGACACCTGCCCTGGCAGCCCCACCCGGCAGCTACCTGTCTGTTGAAGTACAGGAAGCCGCGGGGGCAGTTGACGTTGTGGAACGGGGCGAAGGAGTCGATGGGGCCGTCGATGCCCATGGGGTGCAGCCGCAGGGCCCCCCGGCTGGTCACCAGGAGCCAGTGAGGAGAAGGCCCACAGATGAAGACCTGCGGGCGGCACCATGAGGAGCCTGCGGGGCGAGGCCCCACCGCTCGGCCTCCCCCAGTCCCCGGCCTACCCCCGAGTAGCCGTAAATGTCCTCGAAGTAGCGGAAGCGCGCCACTCGCCCACGGGCCGCGGCCCCCTCCTCAGCGCTGCCACCCTCCGCCTTCTTCTTGGACAGCTTAGGCTTCTTCTCTCGGAAGTTGATGTTATGGGGGACCTGGGGGGGAGTTCTGTGAGCACCGGTCCCTGCCCCCACCCCGCCCAGCACCCCAGGCCACCCCGCAACTTCTAGAAGCGAACTTTGAGGTTTCACTGGCCGAGCTGCGAGACGTGGGCGAAGGGCTCATAGATGAATAGCTCTTGGTCCACATGCACCTAGAGATGCTGCGGGCATCAGGGGACTGGACTGCGCAGCCCAGGATGGAGACGGAGCCTGCTGTGTTCACAACAGAGAGCTGGATTTTGGAATTCCGTCGCATCAGCACACTCTTGTGAGGGGAGATCCCCTGGCAGAATCTCCTCTTCTGTCTCGCCTGGTGAGGCTG